TATCTTGATTTTGTGGAGTCCTGTAGCTCAGTGGTTAGAGCACTCGCTTTGCAAGAGAGAGACCTGAGTTCAATTCCAGGCAGAGGGCGAAACCTTGGGCAAGTTTCCTTACTCCACACAGAGCCTAATAATAGTCCCTCCAAAACCCAAAACAATAATAAATTGGTCATTTTCAATCCATGACTGTTTGTGGGACATTGCTGTGCGCAATTGGCTGCCGCGTTCGCCCACAAATATACAGTCAATTCACTTTACAGTGTGTTCTGTGAAGCGCTTTGGGACGTCCTCCCGACGTGAAAACCGCTATATCAAATGCAAGGATTATTATTATTATTTGGACCCTGACCAGTCGGATATCATAATTTACATCTAGACAAACATGAGTTGATCACATCTTTTCTGTTAACCCTTTTATCCCTTGTTTGTTCGATTGTCTTATCATCATAAATCTTTACTCATGTGTTTTGCCCAATAATGCATCTGATTCCTTACTCTGTTATATTTATTCTGACTATTGTGCAGGTTCCTGGGCAATGTCCAAATTATTAATTACCGCCTTTTTGTCAGGACACTCACCAGACTTTAAGGTTATGATGTCTCTTTCCATCTTTTCTTTCCTTCTCTAGCCGTCTGCAACCGCCTGACTGACTCACTCATCATTATTTTTATTTACGCTAGACTTTCTTAATTACTCCTAAATGTCACACATGAGTCGTCAAAGTCTTTTATTCCGTACTATAGAATAAAGGTCTATTAAACTTATGTTGTATCTCTAAAATATCTCTTAACACTACGAATAACAACACAATACAACACGTCGATGTGATCAAAACATTTACCACACAGCACGCGCTCAGGGGTTGCTAAGTACTCCAGACGCACAACGCACCTCGAAATACTCAGCAGAACCCCTGGAAATCCCTCAGGAACAACGGACTCTGTAACACAAGCGCCCTGTGAACCCTCGGACGCAACCAATCCTACAGCAACACATGTTTAACCACACGACTTATCACACGAAATCACAAGAGAGCGGCTCCTTAACCCCAACAGAAACAATCAGCGCCCAGCCCAGCACCTCGCTCGTGTTGCCTAACCTGACTTCTGCATTTAAACGGACCAACTACTTCTACCGTTAACACTACCTTGCCTCGTAAACAGAACTGAAAACATATTACTCGTTCCCGAGGTCTGGACAACAGCGGCAGGAGGGAGATCCTCACTTCTCTCCGTTAGGTGTTTTCCCAAATGTTGTGTCGAACCACACTTTTGCCCCTATCTTTATACCCCTTACCAACTCTTGGACATCAACCAGATATTCTCCTCTTGACCCTGTTACCTAATGTAAACCTTTTAGCTCGTGATCTTCACTCCGGCTAACCTCGTTATCTGAACAATACCCTCTTCGCTTAATATTCCTCTCCCTAAGTCATCTCCTTCCCTTCTGTGTTTTCCGACTTTTGTCCTGTTTGCGATCATTCCCTCCCTTATCTTGACTGCAGAATGGTTCTCAAGCATTCCATTCTTACTAATGTATCTAACATTAACAGCTCCTCCATTCTATCCTAATCTCTTAGGTCCAGCTCCCTGCTTACCCCGTGGCGGGTTAGGCCTTGAGAAGTGTCTCAGCTAACGCATTAACTTGGGTCTTCCCTTCTGTTCATTGTTTTACAATCTAGTGTGTTTACAGCAGCTGACTGAGCCGGTCTCTGTCCGCACGTGATCGCACGGGACATGATTTTAAACACTCTTAATACATAAGCCCATACGCACGTTTTCATCTATTACTATATTATTCTATTATTATATTACAATAGCTGCAAAGGAAACCGACACTTAACCGTAGGTTTCGGTGATTACCCATCCACCAGACCAGTTAACGTGCCGTAAACACTGTGTGTACACCTTAACCAAAACTGCCATGCATGTGTGATGAGCTTGTTTTAGGTCATAGCTCATCAACGCTAGGGGATCTCCCCACTAAGGAAATATGCCCATGACACTCCCCCATGCAAGACCTTTCCGATTTGTTGTAAATCATGTCTCTACGTCAATCGATTATTGCGTTACTGGCGGACAGACATCCGTGGGTGTGTGCGAGCTGTGCTGGGATCTCTCGGTGCCTGGTGCTTTGTCAGTCTGAGCTGGTCTCAGGCTTCACTTTAATCCTCCCTCCCTCCTGACACACTCGCTCAAACACTAATGTAACCTTTCCCCCCCTCTTCCCCCCTCCTTCCCCCCCAAAAAAAACCCTCACTCGCCTCCTCACTCTTACCCTCGAGAGATTATGGGACTCGGAGTATTTTTTATTGGGGTGGGAGGGGGAGATTTAATTTTAAAAATGTAGCATTACTTTTTTTTCACCACTCTCTTCCCTCCTTCCCTCTCTCTGTCCCTCTCCCGATGTATCTCACAGAAGGATGTGCGATTTCCTCTGTCACTACTTTATTGCAGAATACCACGCATCGGGTACAACTAAGTACCTCACATTTTGGGGCTGTTTTACCTCATACTTGGGGTCTTTTTTTAATGCAGCTCATCAACGATAATATGCCCGTGACACTCCCCCTTGCAAGACCTTTCCGGTGAGGTGCAAATGTGGAGTCCTGTAGCTCAGTGGTTAGACCACTCGCTTTGCAAGCGAGAGACCTGAGTTCAATTCCAGGCAGAGGGCGAAACCTTGGGCAAGTTTCCTTACTCCACACAGAGCCTAATAATAATCCCTCCAAAACCAAAAACAATAATAAATTGGTCATTTTCAACCCACGACTGTTTGTGGGACATTGCTGTGCGCAATTGGCTGCCGCGTTCGCCCACAAATATACAGTCAGTTCACTTTACAGTGTGTTCTGTGAAGCGCTTTGGGACGTCCTCCCGACGTGAAAAGCGCTATATCAAATGCAAGGATTATTATTATTAAATCATGTCTCTACGTCAATGGGTTATTGGGTTATTGGTGTCGGTGGACAGACAGACGGACAGACAGACAGACGCAGACAGTTCGTCTTTATTAGTCAAGATGTATCTCTCTGGAAGGATGTGTGACCGCTGTCTCTAACTTTGTTGCAGAATAGCCCACATACCTTTTTGAGGGTTTAATTAAAGCATTTTTGTTTAATATATGTTTTAATATAACTGCTCATGAGGAGATCTACGAAACGGGGTATGAATCACGTCTCTACGTGAATTGGTTATTGGGTTCTTGGCCGACACAGACACAGACAGACACAGACAGACAGACATTTCGTCTTTTTTAGAAGACGATAACCCAAATAGTAATAATAAGAGACGCATTTTTTTTTAAAAAAGAAAGGAAGGAGGCGGTGGGTGGGAGTGGGCGCGAACTGAAGGGTTTAAGACTGAGAAAGTTGTCGCCTCTCGATCAGCGACAGTGAAAACAGAGAGAGGGGAGAAAGGGAGAGAGAGAGAGGAAGAAAGAGGAAAGAAACCCGAGAGAGGGAGAGGGAGGAGGTGTGACGCTGGAGGTGGGGGTGTGGGGTTATCACTGTGATGAGAGTTGTGGAAAATGACTATGATCTCTGATGCTGTGAAGTGGCATCAAATTTCACTACAACAACAACAGCAGCAACAACAACAATAACAACAATAACAACAACAACAACAACAACAGCAGCAACAACAACAATAACAACAACAACAATAACAACAATAACAGCAACAACAACAATAACAACAACAGCAACAACAATAACAGCAACAATAACAACAACAGAGGAACAGAGTGTCGGTGGGTCACAGGTTTTAACGATTTATTTGGGGTTTTTGATAACAGGTAAAAAAAAACATTGCTGCCAATCCCCAGAGAGAGGGGGAGAGGGAGAGAGGGGGAGAGGGAGAGGCAGTGGGTGGGACAGGTCTTGGGAGGAGCTGCAAAGTTTGGGAGAGGTTTTTGTTTCTTGGACTTCTTCTTTTTGGTGGTGGTGTTGAGAGCTCTGATCTGAGTCTTTTTTGGGGGGAGTTCAGCCACTTGGGGAAAAAACAGAGAGAGAGACACACAGGGAGTGGGGGGGGGGGGGAGGGGTGTTGGGGGTGGATGGGGGAGGAAGCGGAGTTAGCTTTAGGAACCAAGGAATTTCTGCCCAGTGGTAAATGCGTAAATAATTTCTCTCTCCCTCTCTCTCCTCCCTTATCTCTCCCTCTCTCCTCCCCGCGTTTACATCGGCCGCCGCATTTGTCCCACAAAATATACAGTCACTGCACTTTGCAGTCAGGGTAGTGTGTGAGGCGGTTTGATGCCTGCGAGGGATTGTTACCCCCCACCCCGGGGGGGGGGAAACAATCCGCCGGTCGGCTTCGCGACCGGGTTATTGCTTACAGCTAAGGTGGGACGGAGGTGTGCGCGGGGTGAGGAAACTCGCCGGAAGGTTTTGGCAGCGGCCGGGAATCGAACCCGGGTCCTCTGGCTGGCGAGAGGCGAGCGAGTGCTCCCAACCGCTCTGGCTTCGGGTACCAACGAAGTCCCTGAGATTTCCGTCTTCTGTGTTTCGCTCGGGCTGCGTCCGGGGCCAGTCCGCGCCCGTAATGGGCGAGTGTTCGGATTGCCTGGCGGGCGGAGCGGAGCTGGTCCATCGCTGGTTCCGCTCCAGTCCTTCTGTGAGCCCCGATGTCCCACCGGTTGTTGTACTTCAGGCTTCCAGTTGGTGCGCGCTCAGCCTCACGTCAACCGTCTGCCTCTTCGGCGTCACAACATTTGCGGAGGCCGGGAGCGCAGGGGGTTCGAGCGCTCGCCCAGCAAGCCAGAGGGGCTGGCTTCCCGCTCGGGGCGAAACCTCAGCAGTCAGTAAGGAACCGGGTTGTTAAGTCGCTTGCGGATCGCTTTACGGGGGCGGGGGGGGGTAAACAAGCCTTTAAAAAGCAAGAAGAATGTGGTCACATCGATCCGCCGCTGCTCGTGGGGCACTGCTTTGCAGCTTTTCACTCACAAAATACGCAGTCGGTTCACTTTAAAGTGTACTGTGAAGCTCTTCGCGACGTCCCGGAACGTGATAAGGCGCTGTATCAAATGCGGAAATGATTAAGTGCCGAGAGGTGTAGCTGTGTCTTATGTTATCCCGTACGTTTATACGTAAACAAGATTTGGAGTCCTGCCTTATTCTGCCTGAGCTACTCTGATTACAAATTACCACAACATCCTGTTTACCGTGCAGTGTTTTTATACCAGGAAATGTGGTTTAGCTTTCGTTGGTTGGGGCTCAGTCAGAGCAGTCCATGTAATTCGTCAAAGTGTGTCGTGTGTGTGTGTGTGTGTTAGTGAGTGTGTGGCGTGTGATCAATTTGCATTTTACGATAGCGCGTTTCACTTAAGAGAACGTTTTAAGGCACAGATTTTACGACTTTCCACCTCTCTCTCTCTCTCTCTCTTTCTCTCTCTGCGTTTTCTCTCTCGCTCTCCTCCCAACGGACTTGAAGAGGGGAGAGATGGTCTTCGAAAAATACGATCGCAGCGAAGGATGCACCACTGAAAGACTTCAGGACAAAAGGTATTGTTGTCGAACGGAAGGAACAGCCCGAGGCCGCCCGGTCGAATCTCGGGGATAGGGTTCTGTATCGTCCACAACGACCGCTTGAATTTATACGGCGCCCTTAGCGTCTCGGAGACGGTGACCTCTGATTTCCCGTAGCTTAGCGGTTAGCGCGCTCGCCGTGCGAGCGAAAGGACCTGGGTTCGATCCCCCGGGGCCGGGCGAAACCTCGGGCAAGTGTCCTTACTCCTTACTCTGTTCACCCGGCAGTAAGTAAGAACCCGGTTGTTTGGCGACTGGCGGATGGCTTTCTGGGAGTAATAATGCCTTCGAAGTAGATAATAATTCGGTGAGTCGATCCACGACTGTTTGTGGGGGACGCTGCCGTGCGCAATCGGCTGCTGCATTTCGCCCACAAAATTCACCGTCACTACGCTTATACTCACCAGTGTATCCCGTGAAGCGCTTTGAGTCGTCTCGAAGATGTGATCAGGCGCCGGGTCGGATGCCAAATGAGGATTATTATTATTAATTATGATCAATTGTTCTGAATCGTTATTAATTATTACTCATTGTTATTAATTATTAAGACGTGATACAAGGCGCTACGTCAGGTGCGAGGATTATTATCGTCGTCGTTATTCCTCACCTTTTCAGGCAAGAGAATCAGAAGTCTCGGTCGCAGCCGCCCGTGGGACCTCACACCCCCGAGTCCTCTCCCCCACACGCCAGCGAGGCAGGTCACAGAGGACACGGGCCAGTGAGCCCCAGCAGCAGCAACGAGCAGGTCAGTGGCCAAGGTGCGCGTCGGGGGAGATCGACAACAACTTGCGTTTCCATAGCGGTCATCACGTCTCAAAGCGCTTCGCAGGAAACGCTGTAAAGTCAATCGACCGTACGTTTTTTTTTTCGCCGGCGGTTTTGTGTTCCAATTTTTACACCCGGTTATTTATATGTTAAGTATTATTATATGAATACACAAAAGTGTTAACGATACGATGATCCTCATTCCCCGACCGGTGATTAGAGAAGTGGCTGCTCCGGAGCGAGTCCGATAAAAGGCGGAAAAGGCAAGATGAATAAAGGGTAAGCGAGTGACCGGCCGGCCGGCCTTTCACTAAATGAAGCTCGTTTCGCTTTGAAAGTAATGGTAATAACTAATAATAAATGACAATTAATGATAAATAACAAATCATAATAGATAGCAATCATAAATAATGATCAAATAATCAACAATAACAAATAATAATCGGTAATAGTAATAATGTCAGTACGTTGGGCCTTGGAAAGAGTTTTTAAACGGGTTCGGATGCAAGAAGGGAACTTATTGTAGCTGTAGCTTGTCTGGTTAATTGTTGATATCCAGTCTTGCATTACTTTCATCAGGGACAGCTCAAGGCTGTCTCCAGCCTGATTAAAATAATCATCAGGTGGATGAGGACGTGCAGACCTGCAGGGTTTGTTTTTTTTAAAAAAAATACTGTGATAAAAGAAGTATAATAGCTCTTCAGCCTCCTGTTTGTCCCTCGTCTCCTCCGCTCCACCACCAGTGGCCGTGTCTTCCGCCTCTATGCCCCCAAAACTCTGGAAGTCTCTCCCTCATTCCCTCCGCCAGCCTTGCCCCCTCCCTCCCTCTCTCCCTCCCTCTCCCTCCCCACTTTCAAATCCCGCCTAAAGACCTTCTTATTTGATCGTGCTTACAGTCACCTTTCCCCCACCCCCCCACGCCCGGCTCGGGGCCAGAGTCAGACTCCCGCCACTGTCAAGCCCTCGGGGATGTTACCCCGTGTGAAGGGGGCTACGTAAATGCAAGTTGTTGTTGTACGAATTAACCGCTGCTATTTCCCCTCTCAGGCCTGACAAAGGTGGGAGGAACAGAGCGCACGGGACCCGGGGGGAGGTGAAGCCATCTTCTCCCAGAAAATCCGTCGTCGGCGATCCTTCCTGCAAGCTCCAGAAGCCGCCTCCGGGGGTGAACCCTTTGCCGTGCCAGGACCTGCAGTCAGGTCAGACGCCCGCTTCGGGGTACTTTGCAACTGCAGGATATCTTTTTAGAATAATAATAATCCTTGCAATGGACGCAGCGCTTCATCATGTCGTCGAGACGTCTCAAAGCTCTTCACGGGATATAGTGTAAAGTGAATTGACTGTATATTTTGTTGGCATATTTGTGTGTGTGTGTGACTATATATACATACAGTATTTATATAGAGAATTATCTCTAAACGCCACCCTTCTTCTCTGATTTCAGACGTTCCAAACCCGATTGCTCTCCATCCCGTCCTGCAAACCGCGTTGCAACAGTTCGGTTCCCTTCAAACGAAGGCGAGTGTACGATTTGAGCTGCGGAAACTGTCGCTGGGAAGGATTCTCCGGGGGAGCCTGTTGACTCGGGAAATGCCTTGGTGTCAAATGCAAGGATTGTTGTTGTTATAATAATAATAATCCTCGCATTTGATGCAGCGCCTTATTACGTCTGTGAGACGTCTCAAAGCGCTTCACAGAATATGCTGTGCATTGAATTGACTGCGTATTTAGTGGACGAAAATGGCTGAATATTAGAGGGGGCAAAGGGTTTCAATGTCAATGTATTCATCACCAGCTGAATTCTGGAGGGGGGGGAGGGAGGGGGAGTCGGGGTTGTGGTTGTGGTTGTCAATCAAGCGATGTTCCGGAGAGAGAGACTGAGACTGAATGTGATGGAATGGTAAACGTTCAAGGAGTTTGACGTAGAACGGCAGGTATTCAACGCTGCGCTGATGGGGTCTAGTTTCCTCCCTCCAGGGGGACAAACTGGAAGTGGACGCGAAAGCCAAAGCTCCGGCGACATCGGGGGTGGAGCAGAAGAAAGCCGTGCGGGAGGACAGACCTTGCCACCAGCCTCCTGCCTTCCCCGCACCCAAGGTACCATTCCCACAGGCAAAAAAAAAAGCTCTTATAAAGCGATTAGCATCTCTCTCGTCAGGGTTGATAGCGGCGACTCTTAAAGATTGAGTCTGGGGTGGTGGTGGGGGTTTCAGACACCAGATAAAACAAGGTCACGTTGACGGCGCCGTTCAATTTATTTACGAGCGACCTGTTTTATCATTCTTTTGAAAAAAATTGGTCACTCGATCCGCGACGTGTTTGTGGGGGACGCCTCTGACCGCAAAATATACAGTCACTTTCCGTTTCTGTTCCGTGAGGCGCTTTGAGAAGTCTCGGGAGATGTAGGTGATAAGATGCAACGATTATTATTATCCTGATCCCCTCGTGTTCGACTGTCCCTCTTCGCAGGTAACTGGACACGCCGCGTTCAAGAGCTGTGTTGTGCCGAGTGCTGATTCTCTGAGGGAGCCCGCAGCACACTCGAGCAAACCAAGAGAGACCAGAGGCTCCGAGACCCCTGTAAAGAGACCAAAACCCATGCAGGTGACCAGCTGTTCCTTCACCCGAGGTTCTCTTCCTTTGCTAATCGCTTTCTTTCTCCTGTTCGTTAGCTCTCAAGCCAACGCAGTTGAGGTACAGATCAGATCAGCCGTGAGCTAATAGATTGGGGGCTGAATGGCCTACTCCTGTTCCCATGACATTAAGGTCACTTTGTGGTGGCTTGGATCTGGGGCTTGACCTGCCTGACTGACCTACTGAGGGGGTGGGAAGGGGAGAAGAGAGCGAGATCTGGACGTGACCACCTAACACTGCTCACGCTGTGACCTTCCCCGTCCCTCCGTGGCTCGGCCTCTCTCCCGGAGCGCCGCTCACCTTCCTCCCGCTCGTTTCAGGGCGACACGAGAGCACCGGAGAGGAAATGCAGCGAGCTCAAGAAGCGCAAGAAGCCGGAGAAGCAGGAAGCGAGCCGGGCTCCGGGTGGTAAAACCCCGGCGGGGATTGGGATTAACCCGTCGAGGGCTAAGCTAAAGAGAGTGAGTGAATCTCAGCCTTATTCGGTGAGAATGTTGGTCTCTTCGTTGGGGAGAGGTGGGGGCAGAGGGGGTATGTGCGGGTGTGGGGTGGGGGTGGTTGAAGGACTCAGGTCATTGAGGCGAAAACAAGTCGCTGGGGAAAAAAATTAATAATAATTTGGTCACTCAATCCCCGACTGTTTGTGGGACACTGCTGTGTTTCGAGGACGTGCTAAGGCGCTGTATCACATGCCAGGATTATTTATTTATTGATTGATTATTGATACTCAGCAGGTCGGGCAGCATCTATGGAGAAGGGGACCTTTCGTCAGGTCATCGTCCTGAAACCTTGACTCGCCTTGGTCTCTCTCTCCATAGATGCTGCCTGACCTGCTGAGTGTCCCCGGCGACTTCTGTTATCATGTCCGGTTTCCAGGCGTTTCATCTGCAGTTATTTTGCCTTTTGTTCGTGGGCGTGGGGTGGGGGTGGGGGGCGGGGTGGGGGGGGGGGGGGGTAGGTGCTGGTGGGTGCAGTTGGCGGTGGTGACCAGCAGGGATCGCTCTCCCCCACACATAACTGAGAGCTCCTCTATTCTGTGGTTTCCAAGCGTTGGTCTGAGGATATCTTTGTGGGTGTGTTTGTGTGTGTGTGTGTTTGGTTTTTTTTAAAAAAAGAAAAAGTAATATTTACTAACACCCGCAGACGTTCGATGAAACGCCATCAAACTTGACGCGGGGGGGGAAGCAAAGAAGAAAAACAATTTGAAAAAAGATGACAGGCGGGTTAAGTTCCCTCTTGAAGTTTTGATCGAAAATAAACAGCGGCACCTTTTTGGTTTCGGTTTGGTCACACGATCCGCGACTGTTAGTGAGTGGGCCGTTTGGCTGCTGCCTTTCGCTTCCAAAATACAGTCAATCCACTTCACGGTATATCCTGCAAAGCCCCTTTGAAACGTCTCAACGACGTGATAAGGCGCTATATCAAATGCAAGGATTATTATTATTATTTGAGCACGTGGGTGCGTATCTTCAGTTCGAGAGGCTAACAGGATCCAGTGTGATCCACTGATGGCTCTATTTATTGTTTTATTGTTTCACTTTTAGAAAAAACCCTTCCGAATCTCAGAAACCGAGGGTTGGAGGCAGAAGGAGACCGAACTCCAGGAGGTGATGGGTTTTGAGGAGGGGGAGCTGTCGCCTTCAACCACAGACGACACGAGTGACGTGAGTCTTTGCAAACGCCACCGTTTGTACCTGTTGACGCAGCGAAACCGGACACGGAATAAACAAATCTCTCGCGTGTCGTCCTTTCCCTCTTTAGGATGACATATTTCGAGAACCACCAAAGACCCGACCAGCGAAGACCCGCAGATCGCAAGCCAGGCGAGCCGGGCACCCTGACCAGCCCAGTCCGGAACTGCTCTGCAACCCCTCGACAGACAGAGCGAGGATTGTGAGTAAACCACCACCCCCCCCACCCTACTCCTCTTCCCCCACCCCCCTTCCTCTTTCCCCCCCGGCCCCTCCTCTCCCTCACTCCTCACCTCCCCTTACACGCTCCCTCCTCTTCCCCTCCTCTCCATTCCACTCCCCCACTCCCCTCACCTTCTCTTTCCCCCCTCCTCTTTCTCCTCCTCTCCTCTCCCCCTTCCCTTCCTCCCCCCTTCCCTCTTCTTTCTCCTCCCCACCCCCCCACCCCACGCCTGCAATCTTCACAGCGAGTGCGTGGCAGAGTAGCAGTTCACAAAGCTTTCAATATTGTTCAAGTTACTGTATTTCAAAACTCCAGGATTCGTGTTATGATTTTTTCTCTCTTCTCTTACCCCCCAACCCCCGCGTACCCCCCCTTCCCCCCTCAAAGCTTCCAGTGAGAAATGACGTCAAGAAAACTTCCCAGACGAAGCTCCACACTCCAGTCTGCAGTGAAACGACCCTGAGACATTTGTCTTCCATGATCATCTATGTAAGTTAGCAAGTGCTCAGCTGCCTCCCTCCCATTCACTGTAAATACGTGGCTTGGAATGGGTTACGCTTCGGTCTGGGGCGCAAAATGGCTACTGGGGTGGGGGGGTGGGGGCGCTATATAAATGCAAGTTGTTGTTGTTGTGGGAATTAGTTGCGCTGCGCACAGGGGAAAGCGTGGCATCCGGTAAATCGTTGTCGGGGTTTTCTTTTAGGATTTGACCCAAAAAAAAACCACAAAGGAGAAACACTGTCGTCTCAGCTGCGAGGAACGTAAAAGCCAAAAGGCGCCCGGGTTCGGACGGGAACCGAACGCGAAGGTTTCGTCAAAACTTCCCGTAAGCCGGAGAAGCTTATTCCCACCCCCCTTCCCCCCAGCTGACAAACCTCCCCGATTAAATGGGTCCTTAACGCCAAGCGCCGACACGTGTGGAGCAATGCGATATGAACCTACATCTTTCGCTTCACCCCACAAAAAACACACGGTCACTCCACTTTACTGTACGTGCTGTGAAGCGCTTTGAGACGTTTCACTGACGCGATAAGGCGCTATATCGGATGCAATTATTATTATTATTACACAATGACTTTTCAAGTCGTGAGGACTCGATCCCGAGGAGCTTGACAGATCTGTCGGGGCACCACCTGTCATCATTAAATCAAACCACGCGATGGAAAAGCCTCATTCGCATAACTTATTTGAGCGTAAATGATCAATTAATTGTGATCTTTTTTTCTCTCCCCTCCACCTCTCTTCTCCCCCCTCCCCACCCCACCGCGCGAAGAAACCTTTGTGCAAGAGCAACGGGGAAGTGAAGGCTGGCGGTGATGAGGAACGCAGACGGGTCGGTGGTCTGTCAGGCAGCAATAAGGGCAACACGGTAAGCGCGGGGAAAAAGAAACGTGCAGCGTGCAAGGTCGATACAGCTCCGTAGAGTCTCAATGGAGGCTGTCGCTGCCCATTATTTTTTTCAGACCTCACCCTTCACCGAGGACATACCGTGATGATATAACCGATTTGATCACAGCAATAATTAAGGGCGGCTCGGTAACTCATTCAGTAGCAATAATCCTCGCCTTTCACGTCAGGAGAACGCTCAAGCGCTTCCCAAATGTAGTAACTTGTGTATTCTTAAGCGCGTTATTTTTACCCTTCCGACTCTCGAGCGGCGAGAGCGCGACTGACCGGAGCCGGTCTGAACGCGAGTTAACCCCCCCCCACCCCTCCACCCACCCCCCACCTCTCGAGAGACATTGTGCAGCCAGAGGTGCTCAGGCCAGGAAGGAAGAGAGACTCTCCACCCCCACCCCCTACCCCCCCACACACACAAAAACATGGGAGTGTTCGCGGGGAGCGAGGACCCAACGCTGATTGACTCTTGTCTGTATCTGATCGGCAGAGGAGCAAGGACAGCCGGGGGAGGGAGGCCACGGGACAGCAGAGCGACTCGAAGAGAGAAGCTCTGAGAGAGGCTCGCACGGCCGCCATCTTGGCCAGGAAGGACAAGCTGGAGGAGGTGAGGAGGCGGAGAGGCCCGAGGGGTGGGGTTGGCTGGGGTGGGGGTGGGGGGTGGGATCGTGTTGTGTTCTAACCCATTTCCCTTGTTGGGGCTAAGACGCGCTCGAAACGCCTTGCTGGGCGGACACACTTCAATCGGGGGTGGCACGCCTACAACGTGGTTGCCTTACAGCGCTCCCTCCCTCAAGGTCTTGTCTCGAGACCCTCCCTCTAAAGACCTTCCTCTTCGAACCGTGCCTCCGGTCACACTCCTGACCCCCAACCCCCTCCCCGACTGTCCCAACGCCCTGGGGACGTCTAAAGGGCGCTATACAAGTGTCGTTGTTGTGGTTGTTGTTAGACCGTGCCTTCGGTCACCCTCCTATCCCTGCCCTCCCTCCCTTATCCTCCACCCCACCCGATTCCCAACTCCCAGCTCGGGTCCCAAACCCCTCGACTGTCCGGAGTCTTGCGATGTTCCTCCCGACGTGAGAGGCAGGTGCTGTGTGAATGTGAGGTGTCGCTGCTGCTGCTGTTGTTGTTGTTGTCGGGTGTCTACACCGCGGTTGGTTGCCGTGCAGGCGTTTCACTGGGACTGTAAGGTCTTGCTACGGTGGCCAAGATGCTGGTGAGGATGCAGCCGGGGGTGGAGCGCCAGATGCAGTCGGCGCTGAGGAAAACCCTGCGGTTCGTAAGCAACCGCTGCGTGCAGAGGCTCCAGAGGTTCATCGCGGAGTACGACCACGCAGCCAGGGCCAAGGAGAGACAGCGCAAGGCCAGGAACGGACCCAGTTCCTCCTCGTTGACGACGACGTCATGACCCGAGCCGAGAGCAGCCAAAGGTGGGCTTGACTCCGTCCGCAGCTCAGCTCCCAACTGGATGGAGAAGAACATAAGGATTTGCCGGGCGAGAGGTCCCATTCATTTGGCCCTCCGCCTTCCTGGCAGTCGCTTGTTGTGTTGTGTCACAAACTATAGACGAATAGTCCAGGTGTAGCGCGCGCTGTAACTCGAGAGAGAGAGAGAGAGAGAGAGAGGGGTGCAGGAGGGAGAGAAGGTTTTTTGTTTCTCATTCCCACCCTCTACACCTCCCCCAAGTAATCACCTTATTCTCGGGTGTATTCTGCACGTCGCGGACTATTTTAAAGCGATCACTTTTGTTTTTTTGCGCTCGTACGTGTGTAAAGTTTTTTTATGCAGAAGAAACCAAAGTTTTTAAGCAATTTTTTTTTTATTCCAATCGTTCCGATCGTCCTCTTGTCTCGACAGGGAACAAAGTTTTGGTTCTTGGTGGTGGTGGTGGATTTGTCGTCGTCGTTGTTGTTGCTGTTGAAAGAACGGCCGATGTTGGGGAGGGGTGGTGGGGTGGGGGGTAGTCTGGGGGTTTTGGAAGGGGTCTTGAAGGGAGAGAACGGAGCTGGTACATTGGAGGAGGGAGGGAGGGAGGGAGGGCGAGAGACAGAGAGAGAGAGGAAAGGGTGAGGACAGTAGAGGGAAGGATGGCTGGCCTCGTTATCTCCCTGAATAGTTTGGGATAACTTGACCCCAAGGATTTTTCCAGGCCACTGAAAATTAGGATAAGTCGTCTCTCTCCCCCCCCCCCCTCCCCCCCCCCACACCGCACACGCGCGATACAATTTACAGAACACTTTCCACGGCGGAAGGAGGACATCTCAAAGCCCTCCGATCTGCCCCACAAGCCTCTTATTTTTGTTTAAAAAAAAAGCGGGTGGGTTGGGGGGGGGGGGGGGGAAATTAACTTGTGTTTGCTGCAATAAAAGGTTAGGAATTTTATCTGCGTGTTGAAGTGTCTTTGTTTTCAAACTGTGGGTTTTGAACTGAGTGAGATCAGTCTGGCGTCTCGCTTTGTTCGATGCCTCATATTCCAATGACTGCAATGACACAATGCCGCCTTGTCCCGAGGCTGTTTCCGTATCGTTTCCTGGAGACGGGGATTGTGTGGAGATTAAGTCGGGAGAGTCGATCGACTCCTTACGTGACGAGACGGTGTCTGTTACGAGTCACCAGAACTCTGCCGCCCTTTTCCCGTCGTCTCCAATCCCGGTTGCAAACGCAGTTAAGAGACGTGTTGGGACGAGCTTTACCCAGACTCGAGGATTGCAGGCTGACCGGCGTTTCTCTTGCGGTACTTCTGGGTTTCGAAGGTATGATTAAACCAAATCAAAAAAAATGTAATCATAATAATCTGTGCACCTGATAACAACACCCATGACATCCAAGTGCCTCGAAGCACTTCGTGATAAATCGTATGGTGTCTGCTGGAACGCGAAGCGGTGTGTGTGTGTGCGTGTGTGTGTTTCGTGGGCCAAACCCGGCAGCCGATTCGCGCGCAGCGATGTCCCGCAAACGGCCACGAGCAAATTTTATTCGGGTGGGGGGTTGAGGGGAGAGGCGAGAGCGGGGAAGATGGTCAAGACAGGAAACCAGGGAGAAACTCAACTTCCCCTGTTTAAAAAGCAAAGCTGGATCTTTTAACAACCGTCCGGTTTAACTTGCGCAAAGTGCTTCGAGACGTCTCGACAATGTGGTGGCGATGACGACCGTGATGGGAATAATAATCTTTGCATTTGATGCAGCGCCTTATCTACCCGGGTTCGAAACCTCGGGCAAGTTTCCTTACCCCGCACGCCTGATAACAATCCCTCAAAAAAAAAGAAAATTGGTCATTTTCAATCCACGACTGCTTGTGGGGACGGCGCTGCGATCAATTGGCTGCTGCGTTTCGCCCACAAATATATACAGTCAATTCACTTCACAGTCTATTCTGTGAAGCGCTTTGAGAGGTCGAGAAGACGTGAAAAGCGCTATATCAAATGCCAGGATTATTATTATTATTATTATATCAAATGCGAGGATTATTATAATTATTGTCACGTGTTCGAGACGTCTCAAAGCGTTTCACGGAAAGAATATGCTGCAAAGTGACCTGACTTGTTTCTTTTGCGGGTGGGGGTGGGGGGGGGGCGAAACGAGGCGCAGTGTCTAATGCGAGGGGGGGGGCGAGGGGAGCAACACTTATTATAACGTCTTATTCCTTAGGAGGAATTGTGTGTGTGTGTGGGTGTGTGTCGGGTGGGGTGGAGGGGGGAAGTGGAGGGAGATTCTCATCGCAATGATACGCAGGTCAACAACCCCCAAAAATTGTCTTGTTTTAATTCTCTCTATAAAGTTTACTTAAGCATCGTTCGGAAAGCGTGTGGCGTTGGGGTTTCAGTCCACGGTTTAAATACACGGTGGGGCTCAGCTCTGCGCTCAAGACACGGTGCAGTTTTTACTCCTCTGTCCCCTCTTCCTGTGCGACCAGCCCCCTGCTACCAGGGCTCCGTCGCTGGCCGGACTGAGCTGCCGTGGCTCTCCGGGGGGTTTGGGCTGGGGCTGGGGGATGGGCTGCCCCAGGAAGTAACCTTCCTCTTCGGAATCCGAGGAAGACGAGGAGCAGGTCGAACAGCAGCAGTCGTGGTCCTCCTCCTCCTCTTCCTCCTCCAAATCACGGCAACGCGGGTTGAGGAACCTGTCCAGACCCGATCCCGACCTCCGCAGAGCTGCGCCCCGGTCCGCGTCCCACCGGGCTTGCCGCGCGTGCGTTTGCTTGATCGCTCGGTCCTCGCGACCCGCTCTGGCCCCGACCGGCTGCTGGTCGCGGCCCGAGAGCGGTTCGCTGTAAGCGTCCTCCGGTGACCGCTCGGTGATCGTGTGCAGAGCCTCGTCCGAGCAGGATCTCCGCACCGGCCGGGACCGTCTCCGGCTGTGGCTGTGGCTCTGTCCTTTGTACCTGTAGACTTTCCTCCTGGTCTGCTCGCTGAGCGGAGTCCGGTAGCCCCCGCCGCCGCCTCGCCCCCCAGCTCCGGGGTCGGGGGAGAAGGCGGAGACCCCCGGGGAGAACGACTCCGACGCCCGTCGGCACCTGGGCTCGGGGTCTGGGCGGCAGACCGGCTGGTAGGAGGTGGGCTTCAGTATCCCCGGACCCCTGACCTTCTTCACCTCCAATCCCTGCTCTGTTTCCCGGGGGCAGGAGCGATCCGAAGGCTTGGACGGTTTCTGCGGCTTGTGTTTTTCTTCGGTCGAAGCCCCTTCTTGGGTGGGAGGATTGGGGGTGGGGGTGGGGAAGAAACGGCACATTGTGAGTGGGGGAATCTGGGGGTGGGGGCGCGGAGGTGTTTATATTGACTCCGACAAGGACCCATTTCCCCATTCACCACCTGCGGAAATCCTGCCCCCCAGTCGTGAAGGTTGTGGGTTCGGGCTTTGAATGCACTGTGGCACCTTCAGGTCACCCCCCACTTCTCCTCCCACCCCCCTTCACCCTCCCCATCCTGATCCCAACTCCTCACCCCCACGCCCCACCACCCAGTTCGGGTATGAATCCCAGACTGTCCAGCGCCTTGGGACGTCGTGAAAAGCGCTGTGCAAATACAAGTTGTTGTCCAATGTGGGGAGGGGGGGGGGGCAGTGGGGGATGGGGGGGGGGCATCCTTCTGATGAGACATTTAAACCTTTAAGCTGTCTATTGGGTTTCCCCGGAGCCTGAACAAGTGCGACACGACGTACCCGTGTGTGTGTCTGTGGCTCAGCCTTTACCTGGGCTCTGATCTGTCGCTGACGCCTCCTGGTTTCGTCTCGTGCTCCTCTGCTCCGCGAGGTTCCCTCCCGGTGTCGGGGGTGACTTTTCCGAGCGGCGTTCCCGGTGTCGCTGGGTCGTTTCCGGCTCCTCTTGGAGCTCCGGGCGGGCGTTACCGGTCTCCGCCTCCCGGCTCCTGGGCTGCCCCCTGCGCTGCGGGCCGTGCGCTTCCGGCTGCCGTTTGCCGGCCGAGCCCGGGTCTCGGGCAGGAGGCTCCGGAGCTCGCGGCGGCGGTTTCTGCTCCTCCGGGGCCCGGCCCCCCAGCTCCTCGCCTCCCGGGGACGTCTTGCCTGGCTCGTCCCGCCCGGCTCCGCGCTCCACAGTTTCGCCCTCGGCCTCCGGTCTCCTCATCATCATCGCGGCGTTCCGGGCTTCCCGGTCCTGTCCGGGAATTTGCCGGGAATTCCGTGATTTCTTCTTGGCCTCCGGCACGGGATCGGCTGGGCCTTGACCGTGATCGTGATCGGCCGGGGGCGCTGGGGGGAGAGCGAGACCGCCCGCAGAGACGGGGCTGGGGGGCCCGTTAGACGCGACGTCCTCACACAGACTGAACCCGGAGCCGGATTCCCGGGACCAGTCGGAGTCCGGGGGTTCCGCGGGCCGGAGGGTGGTCTCGCCGCAGGCCGGCGAGCAGTACACACGGCCGTGCCGGGGGCTGAAGGCACAGCCCAGCAGCGGCTTCTCACAACGAGCGCAGCGGAAGCACGAACCCACCGCGTGCCAGTGCTGCCCGTTGAAGGTGATTTGTCCGAAGTCGATACCTGGAGTTGTCGGAGAAGAAGAAGAAGAAAAAAAAACCTCAGTCATAATCCTCGCCAAGAAGACCAACGTCCATCCATTCCGCCTGCCACCATCCCTCAGTCGCCTGCGCATGTCGTGTCCCAAACTATGTACCGAATCCCCAGACATTATTTCCTTGTAGAGCCCCCCCCTCCCTTCGCTCCTTCAAGACCTTCCTCTTCGACCCCGCCTTGCCGTCATCCTCCCAACCCCAACCCCAACCCTCCTTGCCCTCCACCTCCCCCCCTCCACCCCACCTTGATTCCTACCCCCCCAGTTCGGGTGCAAACCCTCCATGGCCCAGCTGCCTCAAGATGTCCTCCAGACGTGAAAGACGCCGCATCAGTACAGTACGGTTTGCCGTCGAGGTTTTTTTTTGGGGGGGCAGGGGAGGGGGGGGGGGCGGTTTAACACTCACTGATGATATCCCCGCAGGTTTCGCAGTGCTCCGCGTGGAGAGACTCGAAACAGTGACAGCAATATGGCCGCCCTTCCTTCATGATGTACTTCTGGCCTCCCAGCACCATCTCGCATTCAGTGCAGCCAAAGTGGTCCATGTGCCAGTACCTGCCCTCGGCTTCCGTGCACTCCTCGGCAAAGATCAACTGAAACGGAGGTGAGAGAGGAGAGGTCAGTGCGTCCCAATGACCGTTGGGAGGGAGGGAGGGAAAGAGAGAGAGAGAGAGAGAGAGAGAGAGCGAGGCTGATGGGGGGGGAGAGGGGTAGAGAGAAGACAGGTTACAGACCACGGACGCACCTGGTCGCACGAGGCGCAGCGCGGTTTGAAGAGGTCCGCGTGGTGCCGGCCGCACTGGATCTTGCCGTCCTGGTAGAAGTAGATCAGGTCGACCAGCAGCTCGTGGCAAGTGGCACAGCCGAAACAGCAAGGGTGCCAGCACGCCCTCGCCCCCGCCCGCTGGGCAAACACAGCCACGTCCCCGCCGCTGATCTTGCCCCCGCACTGAAAAGGCATCAAGGGTGGGGAGGGAGAAAATCAGCCGCCACGAGGCACAGGTGAACCCCCAACTCCCACCCCCCCACCCCCCGCCCCGCCTTGCCATGTTCTACACCAAAGGTGTTGGGGTGCAGGAACCTTGCCTATCATAATTAATTGACAAATAGTTAATAGTAGCTAATGAAAATTAATAATAACTAACAACAATTAATAATAATTAATAATAATCCTGGCATTTGATAAAGCGCCTTATCGCGTCTTTCAGACGTCTCACAAGCGCTTCACAGGATACACTGTAAAGTGGATTGACTGTGGATTTTGTGGACAAAATAATATTATACTGTATTAATATAATATAATATAATATTATAGTCTCGGGGTCAGTGCTGATGGTCGATCTCTCACCTTCTCACACAGAGAGCCAGTGGCTGTCAAAGGAAACACCTGGACTATCCCTCTCCCCAACGCCTCCCTCTTCCTCTGGGCACTGAACAACCTCAGCTCCTTCTTCTCCTCCGCACTCAGTGTTTGGCAGTACTTTTCCTGGGGGGGGTGGGGGGTGGGGGAGAAGAGAGTGGGGAGTAAAACACACAATTACTTGGCAGCTCAACACAAAGCCTATGTCTTTACCTCAGTGTTGACTGGCGACTGAGCCAGGCTGACGCACGTCAACAAATAATTAATGATAAATAATAGTCCATGTTTTTTATTTTATTTGCTACACCTTACTTATCGAATGTAAATTGATTGTACTGATTGCTTATCGATTGTAAATCGAAATAACGTGAAAAAATACACAACCAATCCACTTTACGGTATATTCTTTGAAGCGCTTTGAGACGCCTCTCAATCAGGCGCTAAATCAAACGCAAAGATTATGATTATCATCGATATTATCAGCGAACCATGTTCCTCTTTTCTTTCGTTCTGATGAACTCCCGACAACGTTTTATTTTGGGTAAAGCCTCCGTTTTTCTTGGGTGGGGTGGGGGTATGGGATGGGTGTGTGTGTGTGTGTGTGTGTGCGTGAGTGTGCGTGAGTGGTGTTGGTGGTGTAGTCAACATCCAAATATTTTAATAATCTACTGTGTATTCCTGTGAAGGCGTTCGCGATGTCGCGACGAGGTGATGAGGCGCTGTGTCAAATGCAAGCACGACGATGACGATTTTAGGTCAGTTCACGGGTTCCTGAGCTCTGTTGCTTCTGTCAGCAAAGAGGGGGGAAGAGGGGGGGAAGAGGGGGGAAGGTGACATTCCTACTTATGAGGTTCTAACTGTTCAGGTGCTCTCAATGAGCCCTCTGACTCCGCGCAGACACTGGTACGGTCAACTGGGGGCGCGGCAGACGGGCCCGATGGTAATAAAATGCCAAGATTTGACACCGCAGCTGGTACGAGACCAGGGACGAGGCTTTGTTCGAAACACAAACCGACCCCCCCCCTCACCCCCCCCCCCCCCCGACTTGTGTCTGTCAGCGATTATATCCGCCAGGGATTGTGAAGATAGAATTCCGCCCGGGGTCCGGATTGAGTCTTTGAACCTCTTGCCTCTTAGGTGGGAGTTTGGGCAAAACTGTTGACCGTGTAGCACTGGACTTTCTTTTTTAGGGGAGGGGGGGGGAGTTTGGTGCGGTGGGGGGGTGGGGGAGCGTTTGAGAAACGCTTGAGTAATCATAGTAATACGGTGCGATTTAATGGCATGTCGGGAATTGCTGTAACAAGTGTTTGTTGTGAGTTCACGTCGGGGTATCTAATCTCACACTCTCGTGTTTCTCCCCTCGTATTATGGTCTCTCTGTGATGGATTCCGGTTTCCGAAACACGATGCTCCCTCTTTAGTCCCGCCGACACCTGAACCCTCGTAATGTTTATACGTCTCATCGATTCACACGGGGCAGGACGATTAACCCCTCGAGCTGCGCCGTTTCCTTCCGGGGTCTCACTGCTTGCTCAGGATTCGTTTAACCCCCGTCCCCCCCCCCCACCCCCCCACTCTAAACCTCCCGGAATAACGATACAATAATCCTTGCATTTGACGCAGCGCTCGAGAGGGGAAGCTTTGTCCACGCCGTGTCTTGTTAAAAGGAATTAAGACCCTCAGAGCGCTATGCAGCCCCCCAACCCCCCCCACCCGCCCACTGAGCGTGAAATGATGACTCACATCATTGTCGTGCGGAGGAAGCTGGTACAGGAGCTGTTTGATGCGGAATTTCTCTCCCATGCTGTTGACGTAGGGAATGTTCTCCTCTGGCAGGCAGCGGAAATACTGGTGAACCTGTGTGGTCAAAGCCCTCGGCAGGTTATTCTTTCAGTCAGATATTGCTTTGAGCGAAAGACAGACAAGCAAACAGGGGGCTTACTTGGGAATGGGTGGGGGCGCGGGTGTGGGGGTAGCGAGGGGAGGTAAGAGGGTCACCTTAAGGGATTATTACCCCTGGAAAGTGATCCGCCAATCGATCAACAACCGGGTTCCTTCGCCCCGAAACTCTGGAACACTCTCCCTCAATCCCTCCACCTTGCCCCCTCTCTCCTCCTTTTCTGGGTAGCGCTTATGGTCACCTGCCCCCCAACCCCGCACCTCACGCCGGCTCGGGAGTCAGGCTCCACCACTGTTAAGCGCTCTGAGGTTCTACCAGGTGTGCTCGGAGGGCGCTACATGAGCGCAAGTTGTTGCTGTTGTTACCTGCTCGGGTTTGAGGCCAGGAGGAACCCAGGCGTACTCTTCCAGGGCACAGCCGGAGTCGTTGTCGGACGGGGTGTTGTGCTGGAAGTCGAACGTCATCTTGCTGCCGAGCTTCTTGTTCTCCGAGCACCTTCCGTCCAGCACAGACATCGCTGGAACTTCAGGCACTGCAGCGCTCTCACCTGAGACGGGACCCCCAGAGGGTTAGGGAATCTTTCACACCGACGCCGCGCGAGATCTTTAACACCGACCGCAAACCGCTCCGTGTATAATATCAACAGAAACACCGTTCGCGTTGTCTTGAAGCGGTTCGTAAACAGTAACAATCTCCTTCGCGCAGGATATACTGGAAAGTGGAGTGACTGTGTTTTTGTTTTTGTTGTTGATGCATCAAAGGCAGAACAGTCTTGCAGGCTAAGACCAGGTGGAATTTTGATCTTTCTCCTTAACTCGCATGCATCGCAGGAGAAATAATAATAACAATTACAATAATAATAATAATAATTCTCGCATTTGATACAGCGCCTCATCACGTCGTTGAGACGTCTCAGAGCGCTTCACGAGGATGTCCTGTAATTTTGTATACTGTGGAATTTGCGGAGGGAGAAAGAGCGAAGGAGACTGGGAATCTCTGCGAAAGCAGGCGTCCCCTTCCGCTGGGGACTTTAGGACCGTTGGCTCAGGCTGGAGGGGCTATGGGTGTTCGAGCTGCTTACTGCACATTCCACGGTGCTGACCGTTACCCCCCGGCTCCACAGCAACCACACCACAAGTGTACAATACACCGCATTGTGTCCAGCAAGCCGCCTGCCTCAAGCTGCGGGGTGCGATAATGAAGGGTGGTTCACCACAGGTGAGATTTTCCTGGGGGGGGTCGGACGGACGGAGGGAGGTAAGATAAAGAGACCCCCTTCCCTGAGACTCAGAAAGGCTCATGTGTTTTTTTCAGCTGAGCAGTACAGCCGTCGGGAAGGTAATAATAATAATCTTGCGTTCGATGTAGTACCTTATCGCGTCGGTGAGACGTCTCGAAGCGCTTCACAAAGGCTGTGTCATAAAGTGGGTTTGGCTGCGGGCGAAACCGGACTCACCCAGGCTAGAAACTGCAATGTTCACGGAGTTATGGCACGATGGTCCTCTAACCCCATCTCCCCACCCCACCCCCACTCACCCAGCCCCCGCCCCGCTATAGAGGTGACACCACCGTTAAACCGTCTGTGTCAACGTGTGAAGTTCGCTTCCGGAAAAGTGTTTTGTTTCTCTTAACGCCGAACGTTTGACTGAGGACCGCAGGTGGGCGACACGACTCGATTGAGACATTGAGACAGAGGGCAGCGATGACAGCTGTCAGCTCCTTCAGTCCACACACACACTGATCTCTCTAACCCGGGGGGGTGGGGGGTTAGCGACAGGGTTGCAGAGCGGAACAGGAATCAACAGGGTGCGTTGAAGACGGCCCTGGACGCAAGACGTTGCTGTGTGCAAAGCTGGCCACCGCATTTCACCCACAAAATGCACTCCACTTTACTGCATATCCCGTGAAGCGCTTTGAGACGTCTCGACGTTATATACAGTATTCTACACAAAGGCTCGCGTTGGCGTCTTACGGGGCGTTTGCCTACAAAACACGGTCACAACAGAGAGAGAGCGCATTCCATCCCGACAATCCAACTCTGGAATTTCCTTGTGTAGGTGGGAATGCGGGGAATTCTCCTAACCTAAGAGACTACTAAGCGCGGTGATGGGTTTCCGCACGTGTCAAGACCCCTGGCTGACCGAAAGCAAACGAAACACACCCAGTCAGTCACTGACTTAAAGGGCAGATTTGCAAAACACATGCAGCGACACACGTACATACACAGTAATAATAATGCAATGGGAAATTAAATTGTGAAACTTAAAAAAAAATATGTATATATATATATAGAAACGTGCACCAACCAGAAAGAAGGGAGAAATGAACATTTATTTTAAAAGAAAAACAGCAAACGCAAAACACCCTCAAATCTCACAGTCTGATATGACAACTTTTAATAGTTTGAAAATATTATTATTATCTCAAATGCATAAAGTTTAGTAACTCAGTCCCCTTGAGTGACTGTGTTTTAGTTGCAAGACTCATTGACTACAGTACAATTTATTATCAGCCTATAAACACACACACACATAAATGTCTATATACCTGAGAGTTAAAGTACCTTTTTTTATGTTGGTCTGATTTCAGTTTGGAGAAACCTTTTGCTTTCTGAGCAGGAGTGACATCAGCTCACACTGTGGATGCTCCCAGCAATCCTGTTAAAGGTTGAAATATTCTGGTTAAAAAAAAGAAGCTAGATCACTTATCTCTCTTTCTTTCTCTGTCTGTCCGTCTGTTTTTCTCTCTCTTTCTCTCCTGTGCCCTGTGCGTGTTTGGAGTATGTCTGTTAATCACATACATGCACACACAAGAGCCAACCCACCAGCAATTAACGTGGACGTACACACATGCACTCACGCACCCACAGGAGCAGGCTTGCTTACTGCCTCCAGCTAAATTATTTTACATGCTAATAACTCTACTCGAGGAGGCAACAGTCACCAACTCACCAGCTCGCTTCATGAACCCGCTATTAAAACAGTCGCAGACTTTGTGTGGTAAACAAGACAGACTGCAATAAAACAGGGTGTTTGTGCTCCCAGTCACCAGCTTAACATCAACTCCCTGTGTCTGCGTCTCCCAAGAGTTCAATGCGATGGATTAATTGCACAAGAAGAATGGCCAAAGCCCTTGGCAGCTTCTGTTGCGCTTGCCCAAACCCTGACCCATCCCCTCATTCAATGACTTCTCTAGTGCTATGTTTGCGCTAATCTGGGGGTATATTACACAAAAGCACCTTTCAGTCAGTCTCCCTTCACCAGGCATTAACCTAAGTAGGCTCGGGGGAGACAACACAAAAGGAGGTGAGAATGTGAAAAGCTTTTTGCTGGAACTAATCCATACTTAAGTTTGTCCAAACAGTGCGTGTGCTCCTGAAAAAAAAAACCATAATCGCTTCTCTTTTCTCTTTGTGTTTGGTAATATCCCATTACATTTCCACGAAGGAACCAATCGCCAAGGACAACTCCAGTTTACTTTATTGCCAGATTAAACAGCAACACCCCCCCCCCCCCCCCCCAACCCCTCGCCAAACCAGAACCTTACTCCCAATAATCATCACTTATCACCAAGGATGCCAGGCCTGGCTCAGTTGGGTAAATTTAAAAATAAATAATAATAATTGTTATTAGAAGCCTAGCCTTCCTAGCACCGACCACCCCCCCCCTCCCACCCCCACCCGCCCTCCCTGCTCTCCACCCCTCCTGATCCCAAACCACCCCCAGACTGCCCAGCGCCTCGGGACGTCCTCCCGACGTGAAAGGCAGGCGCTGCGTAAATATCATGTGTTGTTGAAATCCGATAATAATCCTTGCGTTTCGCCCACAAAATACAGTCAATTCACTTGACAGTATATTCTGTGAAGCGCTTGGGGGTGTTTTTGAGACGTCTCAAAGACCTTCACAGCGCACAAGTGCTCTGGGACACTACCATGCGTGAGGGACGCTATATAAATGCAAGTTGTTGTTGTTCACAGGGTATATTGTAAATAATAATAATCCTTGCATTTGATATAGCGCTTTTCACGTCATAATAATAATCCTTGCATTTGATATAGCGCTTTTGTTCACGAGGACGTCCAAAGCGCTTCACAGCACACTGTAAAGTGAATTGACTGTATATGGTGGAATTGCGCACAGCAATGTCCCACAAACAGTCGTAGATTGAAAATGACTGCCCAAGGTTTCGCCCTGCCTGGAATTGACTGCGTGCGAAATGACTTTCCGAGCCATCCAAGTGCACGTATCGCTATGGCTTTATTCCCCAACCATTAATTTCAGCAAAAAAAAACGTGAAGACAAGAGTTTCTCCCTTCTGGGAGGTCTGGGTGTGGATCTGTAACTCTCCCCACCAGCTCAACGTCACACATGTTGCCCTCTGTGAGTGTAGCTATGATTTCCTGTGTTATTAAAGAGCAAACAAATAACAATTGAACGTCCCTTTCAAATCCAGGACGGCCGATTTTCTCTCTCCCCCCCCTTTCCCCCCCCACCCAACTCTGTTCCTCTCCCCCCCCCCCCACCCCCCACCCTTTAATGATTTTTTTAAAAAAGAGGTTATTCTTCCTTAAGGTAAATATTGAAACGGGAGTAAATTATGATTGCGGACTGGACAGTGTTAGCTCCTGACTCAACGTCCTCAGTCTGATCTGTTCCCATCGTCTCGAGGTCTCAAAGCGCTTCACGGGCTTCACCGCGAAGTAAGTGTAAGTGACTGCACCTTTGGTCAGGTCAAAGCAACGACAATTTGCGGTTTGATCTTCCCAACCGGTAAAACTCTAGATTTGCCCACGCAAAGCTTCCCAGCAGAAGCAGCAAATTGCTGGGTATTGACGGGTGTAATTACAAAGAAAGGACATGCCACCCAACCGTAAGAGACACCCGCACGTTTCGTATCTATTATTAAAACAAAATCCTGTTGTAGCGGTTACAATCTCAGGTCATTTACAATTATTAATACCGGGGTGTGGGCAGGTGTTGGTGTATTTCTGTCGGTCTGATTGAAACCACACTCCGTCTCCTGCCAACACATCTTTCGGAACGTGCCCTGGCCTGAGTGTGTGCAGCCCTGCTTCACTGCGAAGACATCTGAGAGACCGGCTGAGCTATCATGGATTCAGAGCGCTTTATTGTGAAGCGTAGTGACTGTGTATTTTGTCGGCCAAACGCGGCAGCCAAATACGCGCGCAGCGACGTCCCACAGACAGCGCTGTAAAGCGAGCGACCGACTTTTATACTGGGTTTTGTCGGCCAGGACTTTCGAATGGCGCTACGGGATGTTTAACGAAGGCTGCGTCGGCAGTCAAGTGTAGTGACTGCGGACGCGTTGCCTGTCGACACCAGAGTGTTTGTGTTTTTTCAGCTGAGAGCTTCGCTCTTCAATTATAATGTCGCAAGACACACGCCTTTTGCTCCGCACGATTGAAAAGCCCCAGTTTTTTTAATCGCCGGCTCAGCAAAACGGCTAACAATACTCAGCAATCTTGTTAATACTACGTTGCTACCAGACAAAAAAAAACACCAGCAAGTATTATATATATATATATATAATTATAATAAAATACCGGGGTAGTGGTTTCAATCTCAGTGTCGACACCATTTTGAGTTTGTGTGAAGTTACACAAAGTTGCACAGCAGCCCTATCACTGAGAGCTGATGTTCAAAGCCGCACGATTCCCAGCTGAGAACATTGGGGGCAGAGAACCAGAGAGCATTCGGGAGGGAAAGAGAGGAGGTGAGCGTTCGATAGTAATTCCCGTTTGCGTCTCTCCCTGATTTTTTTTTGTCGTAGCCTCGAAACTGCCAGATAGCGCCGTGAAAAAAAATAGCCCTCGCCCGCGATGCGATGCGATGCGCCTTCTCGTCTCGCCGGGGAGTGTAGTGACTGTGTATTTCTTGGCGGGTATCGGAGGGCGCGAAACGGCTGCCCGGGCCTGCCTGAAAGGAAAGCGCACAGTCACTCCACTTTGCAGTAAATCCCGTGAAGCGCAGTGAGACGTGAAGCGCTCTGTGCCAAATGCGAGGATGATTATATAGTAATAATAATAATGATAGCCATAATAATCCTCGCATTTGATACAGAGCCTTAGCACGTCTTCGAGACGCCTCAAAGCGCTGCGCAGAATACACTGCAAGGTGAATTGACTGTGTACTTAGCGGGCGAAGCGTAACGAGCCGGCTTTACAGTGAACCGCGGAGCGATTTGAGACGGTAACTGTGCCGCGGGAACTTGAGTCGCAAACCTCATCGACTGTGTGAGAGGTTCTCATTCTGTGGCAGCTTCATTGCTCGTGAGTTACGAAGGCACTTTGGACTTTGAAACGAGCTGCAGGCCTCCCTCCCTCTCTCCCTCTCTCCCTCCCTCCCTCACACACTCACTCGCTCACTCACACACTCACACACTCACTGGCCCCTGTTTCAGTCTGAGTGATCACCTTCACATCGCCCAAGAAGCATTTCATTCAAATCTTAATTACACCCCTGACGTCCGTTCAGTTTTTTTTTCCACCAGCGAGACAGAGAAAGGTGGCTTGTTCCGTTCCGTTCAGACCACCCTATACCTGCGGTTGGAACTCAGCATTATCAAACCAGTTTTCAACCAGTTTTTCCCATTTCAAAGGCTGAACGATACTATTCATAGAAACTTGGAAGCACTCCAGCGGAAGGAATAGTAACAGCCTGGATGAAGCAGGTTTTGTTTCTCTCTAATTGCGGACAATCTTTTTTTTTATGTCTTCGTTTTAAAAAAAAAGATTTGGCTCTTGCCGACCCGCACCTAATACTTTGTGGACTTAGGTAAGCAGATGCGTTCCTCCAGAGAGAGAGAGAGAGAGAGAGAGGGAGAACGCATTACGTTCCGACAATCTATCTCTGGGATTTCCGTGTGTAGGTGTGACGCGTGGAGTTCTCGGTTAGGTTTGGAGACTCTTAAGCAACGGTGATGGGTTTCCGCTTGTGTCAGACACCCGGTTGACCAAACAACAATGACGTGTAAACATTTACACATATCAACTCGGTGACAAAAATTTTCAACAACGCCACTAGACACGTCTCCTGTAGTAATAATGATAATAATAGTGACAGTAATAATCCTTGCCTTTGATATAGTACTTTTTCACGACTTCGAGACCTCCCAAAGCGCTTCACGGAATACACTGTAAAGTGTAGTGACTAGATTTTGTGGGCGAAATAGCTGCACACTCTCGATACGAACGTTGTCCCGAAAAAATTGTCTTGGAGCGTAATTAACAATTATAAACTTTATGAGTAGGGACTTACGATTTGTCCTGTATGACACCCTTCACATTGGGTGACGTCTCCAAAGTTTCAGTCTAATTAAGGTCATTCGGCTAAGATTCTTTTGATTTGGGCTGTTTCTTAACAGTCAGGCTCCCAATTAAATATGTCCCCAACTTGACATGACTTTCTTGGTGCTTGGATCGCGAGCGTTCTGGAATTCCGATTTCTATCAGGCCGAGAAGTCAGTTCGTTACATCTTTTGTTTGACGACCCCCTTTGATCATTTTGGCAATTAAGGCGAAAGAAAAACAGCCGCAGATACTTTTTTTTTCTCTCTCCTCTTCCGCAGGTTCCCGGTTCGTGCACTGCTCGTGGTCAAGAGGCTAATTGGCCAGTTGTTGACCTCCCCCCTCGCCTGT